AAAATTTTGTATGAACCCCACCTCATGTGATTAGAAGAACCCAGCATGTCAGGGCCCCATTTCAGTTATTTCTCTTTAATTAATTGCCACTGCCCAGTCCCCAGTTGACTTTCTGGAAAATCTTCATGAAATTTACAAAATGAGAAAACGGTGCATGCAGCTTGGTGGCTGCTATATCCAGTTAGAGGTTTCTTACCATAGTCTGTGAGTAAGTATCCTCTGAGACTGGCTGTGTTTGCATAACACAGTGAACCACAAACTAGCCAGCTACATTATGTGTGGTTACATGTGGTTAGATTTCACTCAATGTGTGGTATAAACTTAGAAAGAGGGGTTTAGTAAGCCATGATTAAATTAGCCACAAGTGTTGTGTAAATAGCCGTTACTGAAAAATTGGATGGAACAGACAATCTTGTACTTTTGCACTTTATCTGTTCACCCTATTCAGTGCTACTAGAAGCAGAAATAAGTATTTGCCCTTATTCATAAATTAGGAAGAATTATCTAATTTAGCCTGTCATTTTCAATATTTTGCTGGGTCATAGTCATAATGCACTTATCAGTTTTCAACAGGCCTTAAGGAGAACTCAGCAGTTCTCGTGCTACATTTTTAAGAGTTTCTTGCAGGTCATTTGGAAAGTTTTAGGAAGCATAGTGTATATCTTTCTGCTATTTCAATACTGAATTTAATATTTTTAACTTTAAAAGGTATCAACAGGGTATATGGGATATGCATTTTATATTTACCCATGGTTAAACTAAAACATTATTTTCTGGGTTCATTTAACAACACTGGACGAAAGACTAACCAAACTCAGTTTGTGTGAACTTAGCTGCAAATAGTTAAATATTTTAAAAGTTGATAAATTTAGCATAGCAGGAAGCTGTCCTTGAATTGGCTAAGAAAGATTTAAACCCACTGAATAGTTATGGATGGCTGGGTTCACACAAAACGCTTAACTGGGTTATCTATACATCTGTTCTGCAAACCTCAAAATATAGTCAGTTCCAGGATCAGGAATTAGATCATTCTGACAACCAAATATTCAGGTCAAAGCACTTTCATTTGGTCTGACATTACTGCAAATCCCAAACCAGATTCTTTGGGCCTTGCCCTGTCCAGTCCATTCTCCAAGAAAATGAGATGAAGGTACAGAATGACCAAAAACTCAAAGTGTATCATTACCAAACTTGTTACCAACACATACGAGCCTAAGAACACATTTCCCAACACATGAACTACAGCACCAGTAGCACAGTCTCTGTTGATTACCCGGATAATGAAAAAGGGGCTATTGATGTAATGAAGGCTTTCTAGTTATTCTTGTGGTTGAGAGGCTCTTGGAATACTTAGAAGGATTGGAGGAAACAGGCAGGGACGCTTTTGTTCTCCAGAATGGCAGTCCTTAATCCAGTTAGTATGATGGAATGCTGAGCCAAAAGTAGCTAACCAAATTTATCCTAACATATTGTGTGGATCCATCCCTAGAATGATGCGGATCTGGGGTTAACATTTCTCATGCCAATGAGATTTCAGGTAAACAGTCTAATGCAGCTTAACAATTGTATTTTCTCCAAATTTTCTCCAAAGCTGCTGTTTTGATGTCTGGGTATTAGAGGGGATCAGTATTTAATTTAAAGTACTGGCACATGTAGTTAGTGGTAGTTCTGGGAGCCACAAAAATGGGATTTGGGGTGGGGATACAGATTACCCATCCTTGCAGTAAGCCATGGCTTATTAAATATTATACTATAATATAAACAGCAGTTCACAGTGCTGTTGATAAACAGATGTTATATTTATTTTATATTTATATTATGTTTATAAATAGATCACAGTGACTTGGTTCTCATATTGTGTCAAACCATAATATGATTTATTTGGTTACGGTTGGAGTGTAAATCTTACTGTGAGATGTGTAAGGAAAAATGTATGTTATTCTGAGAGATTCTGAATGAAAACTGTGGCAAAAAGAAGTATCTGATTTGAAACCTATATCCCATATTTGCCCTGTATTTAGTTTTTTGGAATAGTTATTTGTCTTTTACCCTAGCTAGTTTGCTTTTCTGTGAAATCCATTTTGGATTATACCAACCACAATAAAAGTTTTGTAATGGTGTCTATAACATTTTTTTCAGAATGTAAAATATGTCTGCAAAATGTGTTTGCCTACTCCAAACGTCTGGAGACTTCTGTGGGAAAAGTTCCTTCACTCTCAAGGCAACCATTTCTTTTTGTCAATAATGATAATTAGTTTGTATTTTTCATATGGAAAAAAATAGATAAGAAAATACTCTATAGATAATTTCTTTATAACAGGGAAATGTCATCGCTGAGTTTCACAAAAATGTTTATTTTATCAGAAATGGTGATGAATTTCTATTCTTACCTTAAATAACTTGAAAAGTTATGAGATCTTAACCTCCCAGCTGATATGTTTCTAAAAGTTTATAGCAACAAAAGCAAGCAATGGTTCACATTTGTACTCTAAGACTTGTTCCGAAGGTAATGTACAGTGTAATATTTAAATCACTTAGGCAACCCAAAACAAACACAACAGTCCAACCTTTTGATGTATAGTATGACCAAAACAAAGTCCTCAAATTGAATGACTCAACTCTAGGAGCTAACTTTTAAAGAAAGCTAGTATTAGCAGCAGATCTTTCTTGAATTTCTGAAATACTTGGCACCTAACTTCTCTACCATATCAGTTAAAATGATAAACATATAGTTTGTGGTTTGGAAGAGAATTTTGAGTTCTGTATCCCTTTTGTTGAAAATATAGCAATAATAAATAAGAATAAATTAGAAAAGCAAGCAGTATAACCATGACTGAAATTGGTACTTCAAATAACTTCAGTCCAATTCTTCGTACTAATCTTGGACTAACAAATTGTATTCAGCAGGACTGAATTTTTTTAATCTGCCCAGTAATGAGAACATTTTGATGTTTTCATGGATTTAATTGTCACCCATTGGGGGAGATGGGCGGCATACAAATATAATAATAAATAAATAAAATAAATAAATGTTTTATAATTGATCTGCTCTATTGATGGCATTGCTTCTGTGTTTTATATTGTTATATGTTTTTTAATTGTATTATTTTATCTTTCTGCTTCAACTGTATACCACTTCGAGAGTCTGTGCTGAAGGGAATTAATGGTACCGTCTGTAGGCCAAGCAGGATGTAACAGCAATAGCAATGTTTGTATTTCTGCCCTATTTATACTTGAAGTGGAGTGTGGCAGGGTGGAGAAGATATTAAATGGATCAAACAAAATCAAGGAAGGCTGAGTCATTTATCACTTTTGATGTAGAAATTAGACACAACTGTCTTCTGTTTTTTCCATTAATCATACAGATGTATAGTTGCTATTATTGCAACTACTTTGTCTCCCAGCAGACCGACAAATCTGTCTTTACCATTTCAGTCTGTTGGTAAGTCTCATCTGGCAGAAGCTCTTCCATGTAAAAAAAAAATCCTTCCACATAAAAATGTGAAAGAGCAAGATTCTACTCTAGTCATATCTCTCATATGATTAATCATGGTTTATTTAACTTTATTAAATAAGCTACCATTGGGAATTTATGCAACATACTAAGCCATAAACTGCTTTCAAATTTCACATGTTATGGCTTAGCTTGATTGCAACCGTCTATGTATAAGAAATACATGTGATTTCTACAGAAATGACAGAGAAAAACTTTTAATTTCAAGTCATAGAGGTTGGTTACAAACAAAGCAATAAAAAGGCCTATGGAACTTAAAAATTAACCTTAAAGACCTCACTGTGTTTGTTTCACCACCTCTATATGAATAAGTATCCCCAGTTTAGAAAAGCACCAAGTGCTTCTGATGAAATAGACTAGTCTATGAAATCTTATGCCATAATAAACTTGTTGATCTTTAAAATGCCTGAAGATTCTTTGTTGTTGTTTGAGAATATGGAATGTGGGGAACTGTAACTGGTGCCATAATAAGGTTCTTGGGATTCCTTCTTAACTACTATTGAAGCCTGTAGTTGGTTGCTGTGAGTGCCTTGCCTCTGCATATCACAGAAAGCAGGAGGTGCATTTAGTTCCCTTTACCTCCACCCTTCTCTCTTGTGACTTTTAGTCTGCCCCACCTTTCTAGAGCAGCAAAATAATCTCTTAAGCCCAAGGGAGGTGTCCAAAGGACAAGGGAAAAGGAATTCCCAATATTAAAAGGTAATACCAAACAAACTGATTTCAAGAATACAGTTTAAGAGGAAGGGTAAAAGAAACTGGAAATTAGGCAATCTAAGAAATGCCAGTTTTTTAACATAACCTGGAGATACAACACATTTCAGGTATTTGTAGTAGTGACTGCTCATGTATATGAAGTTTGATGTGGAAAACTAAGGGAATTCTTCCATATAATTTTTCCATTGCAGAACATTCTTCAGAATCAATTTCTATGCAGTAAATGTGCCAAATGTTTGTAGAATTGTATTGATCACTACCTGCAAAACAAATACATATAAAAAATCTCAGGAGTATTTTCTCACCTGGATTCTCTTGAAACATCCCCATGTCCTGTTTAGTTGATTTGCTCATTCCCAGGGAACTGAAAACATAGGACAAGGGATCTTTGTGCAAATGTGCATGTAGATTTGAACAGATTTTTTCCAGAGAACTGTTCTTATTGTGTGTAAACATATCTTGCAATTTTATCTAGTAAACTCTTCTTTCCAAACTGTTTGAGGAGGTAATTCTTTCTAAATGGTGAGGCAGGGACTTTTTTCCAGGAATTTCCAAGCTCAAAATGTTTGAAAAATGGCACGTTTCTTTGAAAAAGCAATTATTTCATATGAGAAAAAATGTCTGGAAATGGATATGTCAGGCTTTTAGCACCAATATGGACACCTTTGCAGCTTGATAAGAAAAAATAGTATTGACATAGCCATGTCCATGGCAGATAAGACGTGTGCAGGGCGGGTAGTTTGTTTCTTTTTTTCCCTCCTTTTTGGAAACTCTCATTTTGCACTATACCATCAGATGTGTTACATGATCCAGCTCCTTTTTCTATATAAATATTTAAAATAAACTGTTACAGATGGCAAGCTTAGAAAAGGATCATTCATACTCTGAAAATCCACAGCAGCCAGGGGCCACACCTGAAGAGTATGCAGTTCCAGGTAATACAATTTATTTTGGGGAAGGGGATGCTTTATTGGACACAGATTTGCATTTTTTCAAGAATTACCTGCTCTCTGATCCTTGCCCCAAGAAACCTCTGTTCTTATTTTGCTTTTGGTGAGTAAATGTTGGGAGGGTCTTCTGCAAATATTGTTTGTGTGCAGTAGCATCTTTAGGCTCTTTTCCCCTGAACGGGGAAGGTCAGAAGCAAAATGTTGAGTATAGCAGAAGGCATTTCCTCTACTTTTAAACAGTGTTGGACTAGGACTGGGGTGATCAGGTTTGGATCTGCACTCAGCTATGAAGCTCACTGGATGACCTTAGACATTCCTCACCTAATTTATCTTGCAAGGTTGCAAACATAGAATGAGAGGAAATATGGAATATAAATATAGATCAAGAGAACATTGATTTGTTCTAACTGCTTCCACATAAAATGTTCCATCTGTCTTCCTCCTCAAATTAAAACTCTGGAGAATAATCCATCCTTGGCAATACTTAGCAAATGTATATCCCTATAACATTGCTTGCTACAGTGGTGCAAATGAAGGAGACCAGGGCATTTGCAAGGGAGAATCAGAGAACAGGAGGAATACTGAAGCATTTCTACAGCAGAGCTAGCTACCAGTTAGGTCAAGGTAACAGACACAAGCATTTTATTTCAGGTGTCAGGAAAGATGTGCAAATTATTACTTTGTTGCCTTGGTTTTATTGCCAGGGAGAGGGAGAAGAATTGATGGGATTTTCTGCCTCAGATACCAAAATAATTTGATCTGTGTTGGGTGCCATGTGTATACTGAGTTGGGGAAGGATGGGTGCTGTTTTATGTTCTGCCTCAGACAACCAAATGTCTTAGGCCCACTTTACAGCTGATTTCCCCCACACCTCCTACACACCTCCCATAAACTGCCATGAATAATATGTAGAAAAACAGGGATAAATGTGAAAAACAGGCAAATAAATACAATGGCTCTATTGGACATGTTTCCAGTCCAGGAGCCTTGCAGGGGGGAAATGGGATAAACAGGCTGGGAAGAGGAATTGGCATGGGAAAATAATTGAAGGAAAATTAAAAACAACTCCTCCTCCTAGCCAGATCTCCCTCCTGCATCCCTATCATGTGGCCCTTACCCTCATTATGAAGAAAGTCAACATATTGATGAATCCTAGACTGAACTCAGAATATGCATTTCTAGATGCACAATCACAAATTGTGCAGTGCTTTTGCCTTTATTTTGCTATAACTTCCTTCCCAAATCGTTGTCGTTCTTCTGGGTTTACTGCCAGTCCGACTTGCCACCATCCTATGTGTGTAGCCGGTTCTGTTGTAACATTGAACAAAAGGCATAAGAACAGATAATGTTGCCATAGAATTGCTGGGGGCTAGCAGCTGTGGTCCTTACTGTGAGAGAACAGTTTGTCAAACCAACCTCTCCATTTTATGCTCCACTGGAGGGGGGGAGGGGGAGAAATACAGTACATATATTTTTTAATTCTTCATTGTACCAGTTGGACGTTAGCACAAGGCAAAAACTATAGAAAATGATAAAGTCTAATGGTGAAATGATGAGAGGCTGGTTGGTGTACTAGATACTGGCCAAATGGTACAGAGAGCAAGTCTCTTAAATTGCAAGGTATCCGGTGCTGCCCTCACCATCAAAGGCTGGAGGGCAGATTCACTTCATGCATAGGCAGACCTTGTTGCTGAAGTGGACACTATGCATAATATTCCACATTTGGATGGAAACAGACAACTGTGGCTTGCATAAATCCATGAATCCAAGCCACAGAGAAGCCTCAGGTGACCGGTGTTCAGTAAATAAGCTGATGCATTTTTTTGTTTTATGGTACAGTCAATTTAAGGTAGGTCCCATTTTAATAGTTACATCTGAATACTATAAAATGTAAATAAATGAATCTTAAGGTGTCACTGAAAAAACTCATTGCTACAGCTGATGTGCTTCTATTACAAGTGTAGAGTTAGTTTGTGTCACAGATGAAAATAAAACTGATCTAGACCACTTTTCCTCTTGATATCTTCATGACATAATAGCATTATGAACTGGTAACTGTTAGTAGCATCACAGATCCTAATGAAGGAGAATCAAGTAGAAATGTCCCAAACTTTGGGGAAACCATTACCTTAATGCCTGGGGAAATTGTTAAAAGAATTTATGAACAAGATGCATTTATCTTTACACATGTTATGCATCTGTGTTAAAAGCAAATGAAATGTAGATTCTGTCACAGCTAGAAAATGAAGTTGTTACTCACCACAAGTTATAACTGTCATATCTTAACTGACTGTGAAATATCATCCTTTAATGGCCATAGAAAGAAGTCCTGATAGATTGTTTTCCAAAAGAAAGAAACAAGAAAAAGAAGAGGGTATTTCCCATTTTGATATTGGGCAAGTTGTGTGTTACTCAGATGACAAAACATGTTTGTACCACATGGAACCTTATATGTCCAAATCGTCAGGCCAGACTATAACCTTTCCTGAGGTTGTTCTGTATGTTATTTCCAGCAACAACAAAATGTTTCTAAGTTCAAAACTGAATGTGTTAATCATCAAGCAAAGATCTACCCCATGTTCTCACTCCCATATATTCCACTGTTTTGACAAAAGTGTTTGATGTCATTTCATCTGGACAAGATGAGCCTTTCTACTCTCATTTGGAGTTAGCGATAGGGAGTCAAAAGTGAAATGCCACACAGCAAGATGCACCAGATTTGTTTTTAATGAAATGAGTTGCACAGCCTGCAAGGCTATGTAATAATGTCTGCAAATGTAGCTAAATGGGCAAACATGAACATAGACTGCATACAATTATATGAAGATACTATATTTAGAGAATAAAGCTTTAGCATTTTTTAAAAGCTTTGGGCTGCTTAATTGACTTACTGAATTTTGCATACTTTCCTTGAATAATATTTTAACCCACTGAAGTGGTTTTAAAAAAGAACTAAAATAATCACGTTTGTTATGTTTGTAACTTTACATGACTTTACTGTTTCTCTGGCTTGTCTCAACATATATTTTTTTAAATGGAGACAAAAGATGAGCACATGTCATAAATCCTTCAGCCATTATGGAAGTGTTTAATTGGAATAGCGTTCACTTTGTGTTCATGTAGCCAATTAGATACATGTGGGTTTTCTGAAACCCTCTTTTTTAACATAACCATCACGTAAATATTCATTGTAGGCAGTTCATTTTATAAATATAACATATAACCCAACATATTCTGTAGAAGTTGCTGAAATGGTTCTGTCATTGCTTTATTCAGGTGTGCTCTATTCCTGCAATATCTGTTCAGATTGCTTATCAGAGTAATCTCTTAGCATAATTCATGCAACTGTGTTCTTGTTACTTACCTCTTGCAGATGTTGGCATTTCACGCCGTTTGAGAGACCGAGAACTTCTCAGAAAAAGGAAAGCAGAAGCAGATGAAAAAGACACTCAACAGTGGGTTCTGGGGTAAATTAGGATGGTGACAAAGTGATGTTTATGTTTTGGGTCTAAATAATGACACTGAAGTTACTCTTGCTCTGATGAAAAATAATTTAGTCATGTTAAAGTTTCACCAGAATCAATAAGACAAATTAATAATAGTTAACAAATCCTGTGATTTGAGCGACCACAAGTTGGAGGATTATATTAGCACAGTGTTTCCCAACCTTAGCAACTTTAAGATATGTGGACTTCAATTCCCTGAATTCCCAGGCTAGCCATGCTGGCTGGGGAATTCTGGGAGTTGAAGTTCAGATATCCTAAAGTTGCCAAGGTTGAGAAACACTGTATTAGCAGATAAAGGTAGATTTCTCAGATTTCCCTTCTAAGAAAAAGAAGAATGGGAAGGTATGCTAACCTCTTTTTTGCCTTCCCTCATGTTTGGAATTCTCTCCTAGTACACCTCATAGAGCCACCCTTCTTTTTTGCCAGTGTTTCGTTCCCGACTCAAATATTAAACTTTTGCTTATTCCATTCCTTGATAACAAGACATCCCCATTTGTATCCTTGGATCTTTTGCTCTCCTCATCATCACACTGGCCTTCACACAAATGGTTGGAATTTAGATGGAAACTGGAATTTAGATTCCAGAATTTAAATTCTGGAAATGCACCTATTTTACTTATTTTCACAGCAGCGTAACTCTAGGGTAAACTCTTTACACTCAACACCTAGCGAGTCTACTCTATGCCCAGAAAATAGAATTCTGCAATGCACAAATTATGCCAATAGAATGGATTTGTAACATTTGATTTAAAATAACTTATTTTGCAGTGTTCAATATTTGGCATCATTTATTCTGCTTCTAACAAAGGTAGGAGCAAAGAGCTATAGTAGACACAGAAAATCCCACTTGACCACAGAACATTCTATTCAGTTACCCTTTTGGCTTCTCAAATTTCAGTAGACGTACTTTTGCGCCATGAATGATAAAACCTTGTGTGTGTGTATATATATACATCCATATATCAAAGCATGTGAAGTTGCATCCAGATGTAATGTCAGATTTCTTTGCCATTATACAATATCTTTGGAAGATAAGGCTTTGAAATGGTGTTTCAACCAGGTGTTTAATTCTTCACAGCTTTTCATTGTTGCTGCTGCTGCTGCTGTTATAAAACTAACCTCTTCCCGTCCACACTGCATTTACTATGTTTGGTTTTGACCTGTTTACCTAACAGCCACCAAAAGGAACCCCAACAAGGAATGGAACTGTTAGGGAGAACTATGTGAGATAGGCAGCCATATAAGCCCTTTAGACAAGCAAACAAACAAATACATCAATTTCAGAGAGAAATAGATTGAAGGTAAAAGTTAGAGATACTGCCACCTTCCTTTGTTACCCAAGCCTTCGTCTGCTGCATAGGTATGACTATAGCTTTGAGTTCTGCAGGATGTTGAATCGCTGACCCAGGAACACATTCGGTCCTCTCATGAATGAAACACTCTGGTTTGCTCATCTTGAATGGGAAAGTGTTGAATAAATAATCTTAAAAACCAAGCTGAGAATTTTAATGTGATTAAAAGAAGTGAGTTAATGGTTTTGTAAAAAGGGCCCTTCAGAGTAATCTGTCAGTTCCTAGAATTTACAAAATGATTCTTTTGTGTACAATCTGATAGGGAGCAAAAGAAGCACAAGCGAGCGCGGAAAGGAAGAGCAACTGGAAGGGGCCGAGGCCGGCGTCAGGCTCTACAACCAGAGCCACAACCAGAATCGCAGCCAGAGGAAGCAGAGAGCCATGAAACACAGGTGACCGCAGTGGAAGAAAAGGTTGAAGTACCTCATGGACTCCATGAAGAATGTTCTGCCCCTGTGGTGGAAACTGAAGGGCTGTATTCCCAACAGGAAGTAACTCCATCTGTTTTCAGATGTGGTAAGTTCTGTAAGTAGCAGCCTTTGAAAATAAAAGCTCTTTTACCGAGAAGCATATTATTCAACCTGAAGGAAATTTGGTCTGGATGATAAGGTCTCTGAAATAATTCTGGAAAACATTTTCCCTGTCCTCTTCCATGATTCCTCTGGAATCACTAATCAGTTGGATCAGATAAGAGTCTAGTAGCTGTCCCTACTTTATTTCGGAGAAGTAAATAAAGTACAAATGTAGTGCTCTGATCCTTCCTTCTGGATTATTGAACAGCAGGGGCACTTAGATATGATAAGAGCAGGGCTGTCATATCTTATCTGCAAAAATCCTGATGACCATTAGGGGACAAGAAAGAGCTGCCAGCTAGTGGTCATCTAGATTTTTGCAAACCTGATTTCGTAGCCCCAGTTTAGAGTTTTGCCAGGACTGTTAAATTATAATTTAGCCAGCTTCCCATTTTTTCCCATTGCCATGCCTCATATTCTTCTTTAGTAATTTGGCTGAAAAGGCAACCACATCAATATCAGGGCCAAATAATATATTAGATTAATATTTTATTCATTCACTCATTCATTCCACTTGTATAGCCACCCATCTCACCTCAGTGACTGGGTGGCTCACAACAATTAAAACAGTACCTCAAACAATTAATAAAAAAGCCTACAAACATACAAACTGTCAATAAAAACTGCATTAAAAACAGAAAAATAACCCTAATCAGCAACAGAATCCAGTCAGTACTCTACTTTCAGCACAGCCATTGAAGAGGCTCTCTGCTACCATCAGATCCCCAGGTGTGGTGGCATAGGCACATTTCCGAGCCTTCCTAAAAGCCAACAGGGTTGAGGCTAATCTAAGCTCCAGGGAAATGATGTTCCAAAGGACAGAGGCCATGACAGAAAAGGCTCTCTTCTTGGGTCCCATCAAGTGATGCTTCTTTGTACACAAGAACTGCAGCATGCCTCTCCTGCCAGATCTGATGGGATAGGTAGATCTAACCGGGAGAGGTGGTCCCTCAAGTATCCAGGTCCCGTGCCATGTAGAGCTATTGTATATGTTACTAATCCCCTGCTTGGGGTGTTTATATTTAGACTAGGAAAGTGATATGGAACATTTTCCCCCACTGTTTGGCATTCAGAACCTTCCACAAGTCCTATTGAAAGTGTATCAGAGATCAGATGACATGTGTCTTGCATTATATGTAGTCTGGCCATTTGAATGTACTTAACAAAGTAAAAAATACTTTTAATGGAAGTAGAAAACTCAATTCCTAGAGAATTACTGATGAGTCTTAGGAAATAAAACAGATGTATTATATTTTAAAATAGGATTATACACTAGAAAAAGAAGTCTACAGCCTGCCCTATAGCCTGTAAACTAGGCTGCTGCCTTTAGGGGTGATGGAGAATCTTATTCCATTGCCTATGTTAAAGTAAGTCCAGCTTTCAGTCCAGTTGGCTTCTCTATATGGAATGGAAGGGGATCTCATCTCATGCCTTTCCATAAGTGACTTGGGCCAGCATTGTCAAAATATAATTCTATAGTTCATTGTGATTGAGGTGGTTCCACTATCAAAGGCTCTTTTTGATTACTGTAGTACAGCTTCAATAGGCATAAAGGAGGATAGAAGTATAAAAAAGGGAAATTTAATACATACTGTAATTCCTTTTTCAGCACTGGAGCCCTTTTTGTGCTTGTCAATTTTTATTTTACCTTATTTAAGATTTGAAGGTAGCTTTTTCTTTTATTGAAAAATCTCAAGGGGGATTATAGTGAAATAACCACAAATACAATGATTAAGAAAGTCCATAAAATATTTAAAGTAGCTGGTGCCTATGTAGCAGAGAAATAGCACCTGGCTTATACCTTCTAATTTTGTACCATCCAAAAGGATAATATACCTGGTTTTCACAACAATAGTGTTTGAAGAATTAGTAGTTATAATTCTTGTTTCTGTTACTATGAACATGTCATCAATAATTAAAAATCTTTGACAACATGTATTTTATCATCAGTTTGGGAATGAATGTTTTTTTCCTTTTTGCTTAGGCACTGCTTAGTTAATCTTGGTTATGGTTATTATCCAGAGATAACAGCATTCTTTAGACCAAACCAATATAAATATTTGTATGTGACATCTTCTTTACTCCCTCCCAGCCCACCAACCAGCACTAGAGGAGACACCAAGACCAGAAGGATCAGAGGACCCTCAGTCTTTGGAAAATGATCATTTGGAGCAAGGTTTATTTGGCTTTTAATTTAAAAGTTGGGTGCAGATAATAATTGTTCCTATTCAATATGAAAATGCTGTTAGGCTATATGATACCTGTCATTCTTGTGTGAGCAATAAAAATCCGGTAGCCTTTGTTGTCATCTTCCTGCAATTTCTTCTTTTTTTGAAATACTCTTCCTTTCAAGTACACAACAAAGGAGATTTTCTATTTTGTAACGTTGGGTTTGCTGACCTATATTCAGATGAAGTAGCCTTCTTCATCTAGTATCTTTGAGATGTGTTAGACTGGAAGGGTCATTATCATCAAGCATGATGGCAGATGACAAAGGTAGTTATCATCCAAAACGTTGTGTAGCTCCAGGATGGGAAAAGTTGAAATGGAGGCAAGCAGAATGCAGCAGCAATCATTCCCTCACACTGGAACTCTAAGAGGGTGATGCTCTGCATCCATCTACAGGTTCTTCCTCTGCTTATAGGTAATTTGTTAGAACAGGAAAGAACAAAGATGAATAACATAGAGGAACAAGCAAAGACAGATACCTCCCTAGCATTTTTTCTCCTTATGTTCCTTATCTGTAGTCATTGGGGAAGTGAACCATTTTGTGCTGCAGATAAGATCTACATGGCTGAATGCTCCTCTGTTTGTTTGGTTTTTTAAAATCCCTTCAAAGAATAACAAGGAGCTGATAAGTCCACTACTCTGCCTCATTCATATAAGCTTATAGACTGTCTCGGAAGCAACTTCTCTCATTTGTATACTTCTGTCATTTCCCACCATTTTTTTCATTTTCAAATCATTTCAGATCACAAGGTCTTTGGACTGGTAGCATTTGAAACCCTCCATTTAGAACAATCCGTATATTAGGACAATGGATTTTAGCCTAGTCTTCTCTTTTTCCTTTTGTATGTAGAACTTATCTGTTTGAGACCATGTGTGAGGAGCCCATCCCAGGTACTGAATTAATGAGTAGTCCATGTGTACATGTGCAAAATAATATAATTACACATACCTCCTGCTCTGCCAGTTTCACCTGATAAAAATAAAAAGGAGATACAGAGAAATATAGACTAGTGATACTTCTATCCATTGGAGTTTTTACTTCTCAAACTCTCAGAAGCAGTTTGAAGGCAATCCATTGTTTGAGTTTGAAACAGTGGTTCTGGAGATTTGGGAATGTTTAAAATAATTAAATTGATTGTGGAATTTCTTGTCTTAATATGTTTGATTTTTGTATATCTCTCAGAGACTTTGGTAGAGAATGATTTAGGAATCTAATAAATGAATATATATTTTATGAATTTGAAATGTTTTGCATACTCCTATGATCCACAGTTGTTTTTAGTTCTATGTGAAATGCTGAGAACAAGGACTGAAAATTGCTGCCTGGACCTGAGCAATCACCCTGCCCTTTCAGTGCATCTCCACTTCCTACAAAAAGAGTTAAAGAAAGAAAAAAGGCCAGTAGCCCAGTAGATCTTGTTCCCTAATGAAGTGAATGTGGGAACTGACAAATTCTTGTCAACTTTACTCCTATTCTTTTGACTGGGCTATTGAAGGGAAGCTGCAAAATTATTTAGCCAGCATGAACCTCAAAGGGGGAGCCAGTTTGGTGTGGTGGTTCGGGCACCAGGCTAGAAACTGGGAGACCGTGAATTCTAGTCCCGCCTAGGCACAAAGCCAGCTAGATGATCTTGGGCCAATCACTTTCTCTCAACCCTAGGAAGGAGACAATAGCAAATCACTTCTGAAAAAAAAAACTTGCCAAAAAACTGCAAGTACCAGAATGGATTAAAAAAAAAAACAACCCTCACAGTACCTGAAACTCAGGAGCCAGGAGGAAGAATGAGGCAAGAGTGCCATCCAATGGTGAAATGGAGTTACAGCATCTAAAAACAACATCCACTTACCTTGTAAAGGTTTCAAATAAACCACACCTGAATTGGGAACAGCTTTTCCATGCTGCTGACACCATGGAGACACAGAGGTTGGCGGCACCTTTCAACCTAGCCCAGAATATACAAGGAAGTAACCTAAGTATTACCAATTTGGATGTTTTAGTGCAAAGGAGTGCAAACTTCAAACATCTACATTTTAAAGTTATTGCTGTTAGAACCTCAAATTCTACCAACTGGCGCAAGGTGCAAAAGAATAGCACAGGCCAAGCACACACACAGCAAATTTAAGGAGCATTCTGCCTTAGAACACAGAGCAGAAATCAAGATTATGCTTCCGTTACTAAAATTGAATCTGGTGTCACCCTTCCATTTTCTTCATTTCAGCAGCCTTTGTTGTTGTTCAGTCGTTAAGTGATCCAGCTCTCACAGCCATACATTACTACTGGAAAAACCATAGCTTTGACTATGCGGATC